AAATGAAACTACGGAATTTCGTCCATAGAGAACTTTGATGATCTTTAGAATATTCTGAAAGTTTCGACCGAAAAGAACATTCCTTTGTCGAGACATTGAATTTCCAAGATAACAGTTGTTTGACATAGACATTTCACAAAAATTGAGTTTAGTTGAAAATTCAATATCTCGACAAAAGAATATTATATTCAGCTGAAACTTTCAGAATATACTAAGAACCATTAGGCCTATCTATGGGTAAAACTTCAGATCGAATTGATAGTTTGAACTGTATGACTTCACTCATCAAGCTATTTTTCCCTCTACGATGATTGTATAAGAATGATAGAGGAGTATATAATTCATTATGATAAATATTCTTTTTTTTTCTAATTCAGATAATAAAAAAACAATGGTATAATAAAAAAGAAAATCTAACAGTTCTTCTATTGACGTATACTATACGTAGTCCTATAGCCTAAGTAGACCTCAATAGCAAAATAAATTTGTTCATGTTAGCTTTGTTCATAATAGTCAATCCAGGGTAACAGATATCTCTCAATTCATCATTAAAATAGTCTATTTTCTCTTCTTTTTTTTGCACACTCCTCTGATAAATGAAAATAGAAGAGATTCTTCTTTTTTTTTTCTTTTATGCTCATTCTAATCTAATCCATTGGATTATTATTCGAACTCTAGATTACTTTTTAACATGTCAAATTTTACAACTGTTAAATTATATATTTATGATATTTCATGTGGTCTTGCTAGCGCATATGGTTCATCCTTACTTGGTATATTTTCTAAGATTATAATTTTTTAGTCCATCATATTGGCTCTTTTTTTTCTATTAAGGTAAACAAATTGATGGTGTTTGGCACACAGGCGTCGGAGTATATGGTAGAGAATATTTATATGGTGCGAGTGGAATTTCATATACACCACCAGAGGAAATTGCTCGGCAAGGATTAGCACCAAAACCAAAAACGTATGTTTAAAAATATTTAGAATATTGTTTAATTTGTATTATCATGTGATGATGAATTGTCTTCCTTTATTAGAGGTTAAAAATGTCCGAATCATGGAAATAAGTGATAATAGATATAGTCAACTGATCAGTATAGATAGATCGATTTAAAAAAAAATTAACAAAGCATTTAGTAATTGCTATTGAAGAAATTAGTAGTGTAAATGAAACTTTTCTTAAATGTATTGAAGATGCTTTATTTTCTCTCTCATTTTGAAATTCGATCAAAAACTAATAACCCTGTTGAAAGATACCATAGTCAACACATCCAAATCTTTGAATCTGGATAGAATATATCCCGAAGTTAGAAGTTTACAGCATGATTTAAGAAGACAAATAATAATTTCAACACGTCCTAGAAAAGCTACATCAGTAGCAAATGAAAAGATTTTGATTCAAGCAAAACAAAAACTATATAGATAGCTTTTTGAATCTTAATAGACATTAAAAGAGATTACATTCTTTTTATTTTCAATATAATATGAAAGTATTCGATACAATTGACAACGATGAACTTCATTATCAATCTAATAAAAATCAGATATTGAATTATGTTTCATTAATGATTGTTTTGTCACATAATAAATCTTGTCTTGATTCTACAATGCGATCATCTTTTCTTCATTGGCCAAAAAAATGTGTTTGCAATTAGGATTTAGTCCTTTATTTATTCTAATAAACTGAACGGAGATAATTTTTAAAAGAAATTCAAGATGTACGGAACTAATTTTAGCTCGATGATCAGAACTTAAATAAGAGTTTTCACTAGGATCACAGGAAAGAGAAGTCGCTGAGATCGGAACCGGAACTACTAGAAAAAAATTGTCTCAATCGGAACTGAAGATTATAGTCGAATATTCTATGATTTTAAGCAAGTTCTCATAAATTATATCAATCAGAATATAATTCAAGAGAGATGATTCGCAAAGTGCTAATTATCGACTAAATAAACAAAAAAAAACGATGTTTTAGGTGTGATACGTATAAATTCTAAAATAGTTTTCTCTAGACCGGGATCCGAAAAACTAAAATCATCATGACCAGAACTAAAAACTTGGTCCCAAACATCTCTAAACGATATATATATATCATCTATTAAAGTTCATTATTTTAGACTTGATCTTGGTCAAACTAAAAAAACTCTATCTGAAATTCAGTCATGGGTTGTGGCAAAAAGTACCAGTAATTTTCGGTAATTCTATTCAATTAACATCTTCAAATTTAAAAAAAAGAAGGTTTTTTTTTTAGTGGTCATCAATATGATTTACTAGATTGGAATTGTAATAATTTCAGTGATGAATTTACAAAATTTCTTCTCAATAGTACAACTTCTCTTATACCTGAAGAAATTCTTGAATTACCAAGATTTGTAAAAACAACGTAAATTAAATCATTTATTATCAATTTTCTTTTTGATAAATATCTTTTTACATTTTATTTTAGTCCATTAGGACGAATGCTTTTATCATTTCTTAATAAAGATCCAATATCAGCAGCTCAGCAAACAGGAAATAATAATAATTTTGCTGATTCATCAATGCATCTAATACAATCAAATACAACTGGTAATACTAAATTTGATAATATTCCTGTACGACATTGTATTTTACCTGTAATGGATAAAATGAAACCACGAGTAAGTCTTATTGAACGAATGTGTAATCGAGCATTGAGTTCAAATGAAAAAGAACTATTAAATGATATTAATCAACTATTTCTGCCTGATGCAACATATTCACCTATGTTAACTCGTCAACATTTGATGCTTTTAAGTAAATTAATGATAATAATTTATTTTTTTAAATTTGAATATTTTTTTTTTTGTACTTCCTTAGTTTCACTTATGGTAAATTCAATTGAAAATGAAGCTGATCAAAAAATGATATTAGAAATTCTTCAATTATTATCTGAATATGAATATGTTATTAAAATTTTAAGTGAAATTAAAGGACAAGAATCTCCTATTGGATTATTAAAAACACTTAATGATCAACCTGAACAAATACAAATTGAATTTTTACGTTGGGTAAGAACAATGTCAATATTATTAATACTCAAGCTGTTGACGGTGCTTTTCGAAATTTACATTTGGAAAAGAAAATTATTTGAATTGGATTTTATTTATTTATCACATATTAAAAACAATTTCTGTGAAACGAATTTGAACTAGACTATCCTCAACTTGTTCATGATTGACAATTAAAATAGATTATTCTGTTTTGATGAAAATAAAGATTTAAGTTGAGGATACATATATATATAATATTTCAGAGCTAGGCAAAACACTCGTACTGAAGTATCATGTTATGAGATATCCCTACTAGATTGATTTCAACATAGAAACAATGAAAAATTTTGGGAGCTGAAAAATGACCTTATCTGCTGTCGTTCTTTTGGATAAAATATGTTGCATCGAAGTTGTATCTATTTCTCTATTCTTCGAAGATGAAGTAAATAGCTAATTTCTTCCGTCCTTGATGTTATGTAAAAGTGTACTCATTGATATTCGATTATTATGTTGTAATAGCGCTGACCACACGTTTCAAAGCAATTTTTTTTTGAAATTCTAGTTCCTGAGTACAATTTTCACTGTACTCGTACGGTAAAAACTTTGACAAAGAAACAAAGTTTATCGTATTGTGGTTGATCTTTTTTCTTCTTACTTTGTTACTTACATATGTCACATGCACTTTTAACATATACAAAAATAACAATAAACTACTCTGGTTACTCATTTCGCTTTTGTGAATTAACTAGTTAACAAATAAGAGCAAAATTTACAATTGATTTTTTTCCAGCTTAGACCTAATCTGGAAAAAAATAAAAATTGATACAAATTAATTAAAAATCAGTTTGACAAAAATATTATTTGAAGAATATCTTCTTTTGATTTAGTTTTCTTCGATTGCGGCTACATCAAATGGACGTACAATGTTAATTGATATACAAGATGAAATAGCACCATTTTTTACTGATTCTATTCATAATGAAACATCATCAAGTAATGTGAAATATGAAATTATCGTCGTCTTACATAATCTTTTATGTATCAATACCGATATTCGAGTAAGAAAGAACTAAGAATTTTTTAATGAGAATATGCTAAATAAAGTTCAAATTTTACAATAAACTATTTAATTGACAGAAGTCTCCTATTGAGCATTTCTGAAAAAAATTTTTATATCTTATTTTCGTTTTTTAGCTTAGTTTTATGAATTCAATTTCTATTGGATCAGCCATGGTTCAATACATGAGTACACCAGTCAGTGTACATGAAGCTGAAACATTCCTAGCAGTTTTTATTGCATTAGCTGATGCAGAAAAAGATGTAAGTTTAGTATTTAGGACAATAATCTATATAACAGATTCTTTTCTTTAGCTTTATGGTATTGCAAAAGCTATGGAATTCAGTCCAGATTATTATTCATCCATTGTTGCTTGTCAACCATTAATTGAAAAGATAAATATAAATTTTCAAGCCGTATAATTCCTGAATATATATGTCTATTTTCTTTTTCTTGACATGCGATAAATACTGACAAATACATTCTAGAATTTCTTTTTGTTGGCTTTTTTTAAATTGTGAATTTAATTTACAAAATTATTTTATGTCTGTAAAACATCCATTTATTCAATTAAAATTTCAAAATTTTATTTCAATTTTATTCATACAATACAAGAATAATAATAAAAATTATATTAATCGTCATCGTTTGAGATTAAGCTAAAATAAAAACACAATTCGAATGAATATATTATATGAAAAGAAAAAATAAAGAAATATATATAGAGGAAAGGGAATACGAGATAATCATTGTACAACAGTTATTCCGTTCACCTTTATTGGTGTCTGTATCCAATTGTAAAAGTTTATCATGCATGTCTAATGATATAGACATTGAATTATAAATACTTTTACTTTTCGCATAAGCTAGATTTCAAAGAGAAAGAAAAGAAGACGGCGCAGTTTTGAATTATTGTTGCTCTAAAACTTCTATATAATAATAAAATAAATATTCTTACCTTCTTCTCGATCTAAATCTCCGAATATTAATTGAATATCATGTTTGGCTTGTTCAACATCTATAGAAACAGTAACAGCATTATGAACAAGATCTTTGCCATAAAGAGCACGGAGACTAAAAACAAACAATAACATATTCAAAAATATATTATTATGATATAAAATAACTTTGTTAACAAACCTATTTGGTGCTGATTCTGTTGCTTTAGCTGGATCGTCTGGTCCAACTAATTCTTGCCACTTTTGACCAGCATTTTCTTTTGCTAATACTAACAATTCAGATGGACCACTAGCATAAAAAAATAAATTTTTATTGTTAAAAATTAAAAGAAAATATAGACGAACCTAGTCATATAACTTGATAATTCATTATAATAATCTTTGCCTTGATGTGATGGTTGAAGTTGAGCTACTTGTTCGGGTGTTAAGATTTCTGTTTTACGTGCCAAAACAAAGAAATCAGCTTTTTTAAATGTTTCTACAATTTCCGCTAAACAAAAAAAATAAGTACATGATTTTATTTTAATTAAATCTAATTATTATTTACATTTTTGTTGATCAGTTAGATTAGGTTTAAGAATAGCCAATATACGTTCTTCAGGAAAGAAGAACCGTAAATTACGATTAGCTTCAGCACGTGTACTTGGTGCATGTAATGAATTAATTTTAGCATCAACAATATCAAATTCATGTCGAAAACTTTTAGTAACAAAAAAAAAAACGAAAATTTTCAATTTTAGATTCTGAATAATAACTTACGTTCCACTTGCTTCTTTAATTTTACTTTTATCAGCTGGACCAAGTAAAGCACGAAAACCTTGAACAGCATCTTTCTTAATTAAATATAATGCTACTGACGGTCCACTAAAAAAAACAAATTGATAGATGTCAATATTTCTTTTTTTTTAAAACACGATCTTAAAATATGCATTGACGCATAGAGGTAGAAATTTCAATTCATTCTCCTCTATCCTACATATTGCAACTAATGCTCTACAGTTCGATCGAGTACTCAGCACCCGATTCGCGTCCCAGATATGATTTCATATTCGAATTTGATCCGGCAAATAATGAAATCTTGGAATTACAAAATGTTTTCACTTTTTTATACTGCTACCTCATATAAAGCATGGGAGCGATAGCCAGTTCGATTATGATTGACTAATCTATTGTACTTAAGAATAGGTTACAAGGGTAGAAAGGGATATTGTGCTACTAAAAGAATTTATTTTTTAATGAAAATTTATCCACAGATGATGATGAGCCCTATGATGAAGTAACTGAATACACGGAGAAGAAAATAATTTAATAAAAAGACTGAAAACGCATTATTGTGAGGGAAAAAGAATTCATGTATGGATCTACCATTATGATGTTTGACGACAATATAGCGTTCCCATTTCAGCGTCATCGGCAACAAGCAAACGTATCCTTAGCGAAATTGATCGAATGTTAGAAGCAGAAAGATATTAAGTGAATTCTGAGTCACTTGATTTTTTTGTGGACTCTGGAATGATCTCTCTGTTATTGTTGCCGTTCATGGAAGAAATTAAATAATGTACTTTTCATATAAAATGAAAGATCGAGAACCGTACTATAACTGTGAAAATATCTCATAAATGCTGATTAACTCCTGTGTGTCACCGAGTTCAACTATATCCGTCTCATAATAATATATGAACTACTTCCTTATTGTATTTCTAAAGGATTAAGTAAAATGATGATGAAGAAATGTGTCCGAAAATATATACCTTGTCATTTCTTGAATAAGATCTTCATAAAATGATTCATTCTTTTTCGCAGCATAAAATTCTTCTGCTTGTGGTCGTGTTAATTGAATTTCTGTTGTACGAGTAACTTCAAAACCGCTATCACGTATTCGACTAACAATAGCATCTAAATATTTCAAATGTTTCGTTTTTTTTTTTTTTTGTTTTTGTTAAAATTATTCTCTTTTTTCTTTGACTTTATCAAACCTTTATAGAATTTCAAAGCACTTGGCCGAATAATAGCTAATGTTCGTTCAAGATTTCCTTCTGGTGTACGTGGTCTTTGGACAATATTTGGTAAGAGTAATGTAAGTTCCCTTTGGAAAAGAAAAACGAAATTATATTGATATATATTGTTCACTCACTCGTGAATATTATCCATTGATTGTGTACAATCAACATTTTCTTTCAATAATTCATCAGAATTAACTAAATCAAGAAGTTCATCAACAGTTGAATCTTTGGCATCAGTTTTTTGAAGTAAAAGAACAATTGATGGACCACTTGTCATGCGTGCTATATGTTCTTCATAACCTTCCTAGAAATAAACAAATCATTTTATTCTTTCTGGTATATTTTACAAAGCAATATCGAACTTGAGTCATCTTATAACGATGTAATTCACGAGCATCATGTTCATTAAGATGATGTTCTTGTTGTACGAGTATTTTAAATCCATTTTGTGTAATCTAAATTAAAGATTTTTTATAGAAATAATTGTGACGCGAGGATATGACGTCACAGAATGGAGTTCAGCCTCTTTGTACCGTCATTAATATATGTAAATTCTTATGAGTAATAAACTTAACTTACTTTATCAACAATTTCATCTACTTTACCATCAGCATAAGCATCTGGTCGAATAACTCCGAGAGTATATTGTTGACTTGCTAGAAGAATAGAAAATTTTTACTTTCTAAAACAAACAAAATGATTTACTTACTAATAGCATTAACAACAGAAGAACTACGATTACGAATTGTTCTTGTATCACCTTCTTCATCTTCATCCACACTCACGTGTTCAAAGCTGTACTAGATAAATAAAGGCAGTAATTGAATTAAATAAACCAAAAACAATTCTTTGTTTTTTAGAAGTTACTTCACGACGTTCACCACCTTCTTTAAGAATTTTTTTTTCTTGTTCTAAATTTAACATAATTTTTCGTTGTAATTCAGGAGCATTTGCTCCAATAACAGCATCAACAAGAACACCAGTCTAAATGTATTGATTGACAATTTTATTTTCGAGAAGATACTATCGAATCTTACTGCATAAAAAAGAAAACATGGTTCACATCGTCCGCGATATTTTTCAAGTGAATCAATTGTATCTGCTTTTGCCTAGAAAAAAAAAATCATAATAAATTTTTTTTTTTATAAAAATTTTCATATGCAAAATTAATAGGTGATTAGTGTGATGATTTGTTGTTGTTGTTGTTTTTCTTTTAAGAAGAAAAGAGCATAAACGTTTACATTGACTCACAATAGCAAAATTTAGAGTAGAATCGCCAACCGTATTTTTTAGCGTTCGAAATTTCGATTCCATTGCTTTACAAGGACCACCATAAGTTTGATAAATATCCACGACTAGAACAAACAATAGTGCAAACAATGTGTACAAAATCAAGTGTATTTTAATTATAATGATGTATATATGTATGAAACAAAAGAAAAACGATGTGTATTTGAGTGTAAATTCAGCAAAATATTGTGGATAAAAACACGAGACAAAAATGATTATTACAAGAGCAAATTTTAGTAATGCCTCTCCAGTTTCAAGTTTGATTCGTTTGAAATTTCCTTCAACACTTTTACATGGACCTGCCCATTGTTGATAAACATCGACGACTGACAAAGATAAATTTATATATTTAGAAGAAGGACAATACAACTTTCGAAATTATGAATGATATATAATCAATCACCTGTAAGACCTTCTTTATTAATTATTTCATTCCATTCTTCTTGTGTTTCGATTTCTACTTGTAAAGCAATTTCCTGACGACGACGAGCCATCTCTTTATAATTTCTACAATAGAATAAAGTAAAATGGATGCAAAATGCTTGCCATTATTGAGTTTTTACATATAAGAAAACCATGGAAATTATTATTGATGGAGGCTAAATGTAAGTTTAAAAAACAAATTCATGTCATGTACAGTTACGACATCTGTGCTATTGGTCATATATCTGTCAAGAAACACAATGTTCATTTGTATCGATTTGTGAATTATATTCAATAAGAACAATATATTAGTTGAATGACTTCGTGGTTATACATTTTGATAAGCACTACTCAACCTTGTTGCATACTCGATCAGTAGTCCATCTCATACGGAAGTCTTTCAAATATTTTCATCGTGCAAATGTGAGATAGTTTCTTCGTGTTTTATCATTAAAATACCTATCGTCATTATCTGAAGAGTGGTTGAATGTCCCTATTTCTCTCGCTTGTACAGCTTCACTCTCAGATCGAAATACCATCATGGGAGTTGTTTCCTCATCAACTTGAACATTTATCTGTGCATACCCTTCAGCTAGTTTGCTGATGCAAGAATATCATTGTAATAGTATTAATCTGGATTCGAACAAAAATCAAAATCAATTTTTATTGTTTCAAAAGATAAGTTTATTAAAGAATAAGAGGGTAAAAAAGCCACTATAGAACACTCGTCTGTTGAACAGCAATTCAGTTACACGCTATTATTTGTTTTGAACGAAGTTTTATAAACGTCATTTAATAGATAGATGTTTGAGGATAACCAAATTAAAAATGATGATTACATGCAAGATAAAGTTAGAGAAAAGATTAAACAGCTTGATAGATTATTCGTTCCCAATCAGCTGAATTGTGAAGATTTTTCACACTTCCACATCGGTCTCCACCGCCACGATTAACATTTGAGCGAAGTGACCAACAAAGTCGACCCTCAGAGTTATAATCACTTGAATCACAAGGATTTAAATTGATTGAAGTCATTGATGCATACCCAATATTGTAACCCTGTTTAATGGAGGTCAGAATCATATTCTATGATAAAAAAGAGTACACTTAGCATCTAAAAATATGAGTGGCGTTTAAAATGTAATAGTTTTTTTTTTGGGAGCGTGTCCTAATCAGTGAGAAAAAAAAACTATAATTAAATTACTGCCAAAGTAATTATTAGAGTTTACTTTTCATTAGGTAACTTACGCAATAGACCACTACTGCTTAAAAATCGATCTTAGGTCAAGTACTTTCAAATTACATTCAATTTTCATTCCTATGCCATGACATTTTCGTGAAGTATTCAACAAACAAGGATAAAAAAGTAGCTCATTTGGCAACACGAAATCCTCTATAGGCCTTCATTCTTTGTACTGAATTTCTTTTTTGTTTCAAAGAGCATGTCAGAATGTGCAGAACATGACACAACATTTTTTTTTTAATTCTTATTTTTTAAGCAAAAAAAAGTTCAACTTCTCAACAGAAAAAAAAAAGGGGCATTCTAATTATAAAAGTACTCTTTTATATAATAGTAACAATGTTTAACTCAAAAAGAAAAGAGATGATGTTATGCCCTGCATCTTGATAGCCTCTTTCAAGCAGTAAACAAATAATTGGTTATAATGAAATTCCATAGAGAATCCTGACTAAAATTGACTTTTTTAAAGAGACTTAAATAAAATTCAACTTGAATTGATTGATATCTACCTAAAGGAATAATTTATATTCTATTGTTTATTGAAAATATTTAATTTCTTACCTCTGAACGTCCTTCAAAGCCCCAAGCTTGGTCTGGTACGTAGTAGAAACCTGTATCATTCTTTATTTCAATCTGACAATAAGCACTTGATGAACATTGACGAAGAAGATCTTCCCATTTGCCAACACCAGCTAGAGTTAACGTCTTCTTGTTACCAACAGGACGACACGCAACAAGAAGTTTTCTACTTTTGCAGGTTTCTAATAACGATAATAAATCTAACGGTTGATCATACGTGTCTCGATAACATTGTTGCCATCCGATTAAGGAGCTTACATTCAAGTTCAGATGAACACCTACGAGAGGCGACAAGAATTGCTCGGCTAAAAACAATAGAATCAATAAATAGAGTATAAATGCTTTATACTGGATAGAATTTTTCACATGTCATGCTTTCATCTAAAAATCTATACACTTCCAAACAATTTTACTTACCATTTAGTCCAAGATCTGCGATCATGTAAGAAAAATTCGTTTGTATATCTTGATTTGGTGCTCGAAAAGTAATTTCATCAGGAGGAATTTCTGGCGTACGTTTTTTCATTCTCAATTGATCAAGCAAATATTTGAATTGAACAGAATTATAATCAAAAAAAATCCTATTCTGTTTATCTTTTGATTGCATTATGCTTTGATTATCTTTCGCGAATATCAGTGCTAATTTTGATTTAGGTATAGCAGTAAGAGTTGATCGTAAAGTTGATATTTTTTCACCACTAACATTTAATTCAATTATATCATCTGATGATGATGATGAATTATGTATTTCAGTTTCTGAATACATCTTTGCCGAATTTTGAACAGAGAAAGTGTTATTTGACACAAAATTAGTCTCAGTTGAAATGAATCGATCTTCATATAAATTGTTTTCATCAGATTCTAAATAAGTGTCTTTTGTTAGAACTGTTATTCGTTGGTTAAATAACAGAAACCATATAGTCTAGATATAAGAGAAGAATTTTAAAATCATTTCTCCTTAGAAGAATACATACAAATAGGATAGCAAACATTTTTGAAAACTTCTCCATGCTGCTATCAACTTATAACAGATGGTATAGTATCGTGTAATTCTTCGTTATATTATTCAGTATGATCAACGGGCTTCGACGAGAATATTATTTGTAATATGAATATTATTTGTCAGTATCTGAAGCAAGATATATGTTAAGATTGATGATGTGATGAAAGTATTAGACAAATGCATTTGTTTTTGTTATACTTTTGATGGCAATGTCTAAAGATTTTTTTTCTGCGTTATATGGATATTTTGTATTTACTGAAATCTGATGAAAAGTTCTGGCAACATTACGGACATTTGTATAAATTAGATAATCTCTAAGAGTCGGTTAGATAAATAAATACTTGGATATCCTATCTCTAATAATATGTATAATAAATTTATTTTAGATTTGACTCTAATATTCTTTCAGATAAATTCGAATTCTAACCAAAAGAAATTTGAAAAATGGATCATGAATTCAATAGATACTATGTTAAAATTCGAACTATTCTGGGAATAGATATAAAGACAATATACTAGGAATTCATAAATGCATTGTTACCTAACGCTTCATCATACCGAACGATTGCAAGCGAGATAAAGAGTTTTCATGAAAGAAGAGAAGATGTCAATGATAAACCCGAGCTGTTCGTCCATTTTTCGAGCTAACAATTTTAAATATTCAGCCTGTACGACAGGTTATCAACAATGATGCACATTCAGATTATAATAATATTATAGCTAAAACACTTCTCTCTATCCCTCATGGCACAATAGAAAGAATTATCCACGATTATCTGAAGATGAAAAAAGTTAAGTTACGTTTTATACCTCATCAACTCGGTGATGAATAAGAGCAAGAAAGAGTTAGAATTTCTTGTGAAAATTGGGTGAAATTTCTTGATAGATCATGGCGATTATGTTATATTATTACAAATGATGAGATACAGATTTATCATGGACAATTGAGCGCAAGTCAACTAATGCAAGCTAGATGAACGAAAGTGAATTACCAACGATTATTGTTCGCCAAAGTTGATTTGAACCCAAAACTTTGTTTTCTATATATTCTTAAATAAAATAGTCCTGTTGTTATACAAAGTGTAGATAAAGGCAAGACTATAGATCACAACTATTATATTGAAAAATGGTCTCAAATCTGTTGCCAATAAAATACGGAAAGAAAATAAGTCATTAGACCCAAAAGATATCGCTTTCACGTTTTTACAAATAATTAGAGCAAATCAAATTCGATAAACAATCGAGTCGATCAATAAACAGTTTGCATGAAGTAATCAATTAGCGGTGTGGTACGAAGATCATCGGCTTTGATCATCGATGACACATAGAATAGTGCTCATGCAGAATACCGAAAACTCTAGAATCTGACTCAAGAGTCAGATGGCGATGCCACTCAGCCAGCCTAGACCAAAGGACGGGACTTTATATAAATAACCGTGTGTTTTTCAACAAGAAAAGAAGTAAAGATCTGACATTGGTGATCGATTTCAAAACGAAACATACTCATCGAATAAGTACCAAAAAACTACCTCCGACATATTGATCGAATAATGTATCACAACTGGTGAATGTGTTTGAAGTCTGTTAAAATTAACAGAATTGAGTCAATTCTTATGCAGTCTAACGATGTTGATGGGTCTTACAGAGTTCACATTGACTTCAGTTTTTAGGATAAATTTTGATTAGTAAAACATATTCTGAAACTATTTTCTTCTCAATTGATTTGAATTCTATCTAATAAACAACTCGAATTTGAGTAGAAAGCACTCTTCAATCGTTTGTAGCTGAAACTGAAAGTTCTAATCGCTACCACCTGAAATTCTTATGAGTAATTTTTTACCTTACTACGTACTGAATAATCGATCTGTACGATTATCTGTATTAGAGTGTTTTTCAAAACATTTCAATTCTGATTTGATAAAGCATGACGTAAAGCCAAAAGTCATATTTTTGTTTTTTTTACTTAACATACTTCTTTATAATTGTAAAACTAAATGATTAGTCATTGCAGATCGTTATATTAATAGTCTTTTCGATTTTTTTTAAAATAAAACTCACATTTTATAAAGTACGCATGATTAAGTAAAATCGAGCATATAACTAAACTAAATTTAAAAAAATTTAAGCTTTATACTAAGTAAAAAAAAATGATCAAAAAGAAAAAGAAACAGATTAAACACTATAGTAAATAAGACGTTCCCATTTGGATGAATTTTGTAAATTTTGTGCATTGCCACATCGATCACCAGTACCATGTTTACTGATTGATTGTGATGTCCAACAGAGTCGATAGTCAGAATCCAAATCACTAGAATCACATGGATTAATTATAAATGATAAAGATCCACGTACAAAACCCCAAGTTTGATTATTTGCATTATACCATCCGACACCTCGTTTAGCTTGAGTAATACATTGATAATTTGATGAACATATAAATTTTTTATTCTTATTATTTGATTTATCATTTATTTTACATCGTTTTGGTAAACATGGATGAAAAACATCTTCCATTTCTCCGATACCTGCTAGAGTAAGTATTTTTTTGTTATCAACAGGACGACAAGCAATCAGAAGTTGACTACCATTGCATGATTTTTTCAATACAGATAAATCAAATGGAGTATCATATATACTACGATAACATTCTTTCCAACCAGCAAGAGAACTAACAGTCAAGTTGATATGTGTACCTTCTCTTGGTGATAAAAAATAGTCAGCTAAAATGAATATAATGAATTGTATGAGACAATGAGTGTTTTATAAGAATTTATTTACAGCTATATTCCCTTTAATAGTTTCAGTTAGAGATGTGCAAGGTAGGGTAAAAGTAAGCATATTGCAAGGTAGAATATGATAAAGGTTAGAAATTTTTTCTCATGAGGAAATATCTCCAGGTGTCCAAATTCGTTTGAGCTAATATTTTATCCATAAATCAGCCTTGATGAGCTATGAAAAGCCTCCTAATGATTTGTGTCCACAGGTATTTCTTGCGGCGAAGTTTCAAATTGTTCAAGTACGTGAAAGTAATAGCAAATATTTTTTGAATGACTATTAAAAGATAGGAAACTGAATCTTTTTGAGAGTGAACTTAATAATAACTAGATTATAGTAGATCTTTCAATACATTTTTCTTCGGTATTATGCTTATGTCCATGATTTTCATATGAAGCCAAGTTCACACTATTTCGCAGTATAAAAAATGCTTGTATTCCGTGATAAAGTCATGAAGAAATCTTTTGATTTATGATCTACAAGCTTCTTAAGGTGGCAATATTAAAAAGTCTAGTATAATATAATTAGTTAACATTAAGTTCACTCTTAGAAAATTTTTCAGTCTTCTACTTTTTAATAGTCATCAAAAAATCATTTGCCATTACTATCACATACTCGAACAATACGGTACTTCGCAACAAACACTCATGGACACGAATCCTTTGGAGGCTTTTCATAGTTCACCAAGGCCTATTTATGGATAAAATATGAGCTGAAAACTATGCAGACACTTGCAAATGTTTGCTCATCGGTCAGGGTATAAAAAAAAGCTTACCCTACACATCTCTATCATAATACTATTTATAACTTTTTGAGTCTTTAAATTAGGTTAGAATTAAGGAAGAGTGAGATAAAAATCTCGTAAGATAAGGTAAGGATATAGGTTCGACAAGGTAAAGTAAAGACAAGCAAATGTTGCTTAGCCAGAGTACAAGGAATGAAATAAGCTTACCCTGCACATCTCTAGTTTGAGTCTGCATATTACAGGGTTTAGAATCAAAAGTTCCTTTAAAAAAGAATTCATCATTTTAATTATTAAAACTAGAGTAAATAATATTTTGAAATATAAGATTATTTAACATACGTGTTAATCCAAGATCGACAAGCATATGAGTAAAATTTAATTGTGAATTAATATAAGGAGCTTGAAATTGAAGATGATATCCTGGTTTTTCTGGCATACGTTTGATTGCTCTCAATTGATCAAGTAAATAAGTAAAATATGTTGGATTATAATCAAAAAATACTGCACCATGATTATCCATAGGTAAATTCTTTTCTGTATTATCTTTACTAAACATACGAGCTAATTTTGAATTAGATACAACAGTTAAAGTTGAACGTAATGTTGTTATTTTTTGACCACCAATATTTAATTCAATTATATCATCTGTTAATGGTACAGCTGTATCAATTTCTCCATTATTTTCTGAAGATGCAACAGTTGTTTGTTCAGCAATTATTGTATCTTCAGTAAATGTCACAGTGTTAGTATATTGTTCATTTTGAAAATCATTATTATTGATAAAGGCTGTTTTAACAAATAAATTTCGATCAAATAGTACAATCCAAATAACCTAGACATGTTATATTAGTTCTAAAAGATTAATTTTTAAAGAATACATACAAGTAATACTGAAAACATCATTGATAATATCTGATTGAAGAATAACTTATAGATGAATGTTAGGATATATGTATATAAGTTTTATCACACGTATTGATTATTCTCTTTTCCAGAATAATATATATATATATATGTAGATAAATGAGTCGTATATCTTCATGCTAAAACAAACTTACAAACGAGAGAAAATGCTTCTTCTTCTTCTCTTTGCCTTTCTCTTCTATTCCACAACAATGATAATTGTTTATTTGTTTATATTTGAGAGGAATATTTATATGATTTCTTTTTGTGTGTACTGTAATAGACCTCGATTAGTTCTTTGAAGATAGAAAATATCAAATATGTTTGGATATGATTATTCTAGTGTAATTGGATTTAGTATGTTGAAGACATATGAAATTTAACAGTTGTTCATTCATTGATATTCTATGATGAAGCATTTCATTCTATGAGATTAGAAAAAGAAAAAGATATGGTCTACACTTGTCCTTGTATGTATCAGTTGTTTAAAAGTATATCTAATTCAAAAATAGATACATCATTCGCATGATGACACGACAATGATATTAATACATCTCTGCTTATTTGTCATTGTTTTGCATCATTGATTCTCATGGTCTTTCTTCATTATCATTATTATTCAACGACAAGATATATGTGTATATATCAGATCCGTGCATGTGTTTCCTCTCTGGTTATGTCCTTATTGAAAAAGGTCAGATATTTGTGTGATCTTTCAGTAAAGCATAGAATGAAATAGTATAGTCTGGTGATACTGAAACTCATTTATCTAGGCAAAATAATTATTGAGTATGATTTGAGAACACGATTTCTGTCGAGAAAATGATTCATGAATTAGAAATATAAAATAATTAATGAAAGAATATATCTCAACATTTTTATAATCGATGTTATATTTTCATATAGAATAACTGTTGGCTATTGATGTCGCATAGTATTGTAAATTTTTTGTTTCTGTAAATCAAAACAAAGCATCAAATCAACAGTTTATATCGTCATATAAAACAAATAGAATAAATTACTTCAATCAATAAATAATTTAGCCAAACACAAACGATTTGTATCGCTGTCGACTTCCTATATTTGCACGATATCGAAAGAATCGTCTAAAATTGTACTTGAAGCATATCGTATATCTATATATGATTAGAAAGAGATGATACATGAAACTATCGACAATATAGATGGGTCGATATGGTCATTTACATATATATATATATTAGCGAGTGAAGCTTCATCCATCCAGCTTACTATTTAATCAATCTATCTATCCTAGGCAAGTTTTCATCAGTTAGCATTATGAATTCTATAAAATGGCTAACAAATCACAACAAAATTTCGCTTAAATAATTAATGTCTTTCTAGCAATTCTGCAGTACACCATAGATTAGTCAAGATTGATATATTCCCTCTCATATTGTACACCTTTTTAATAATAATAATTAGGCGTAAAGCAATATGCATATATAACATTTGTGTTGATTATCATTAATGATTTAGAAACGAACAAAAGCAAGGTCATAAGCATTTACGCTTAATTTACTGATACGTACAAGTACAACAGAATGTCAAGTAAAAAACAATAATTTTTTTTAATCATTATCTAATTCAAGGATAATGCTCATATAAACGTACTCGATTGCTACAAATAGAAAAAAAAATAGATAGGTCAAAAAGTTTTGTAAGATCTCCCCCTTCCCCGAAAAAAAATCAATATTTGTCATCTCAAGGTCTAATTTCTCATAAATGGCATGATTTTATTATTTAGTACTTCTTTTTTTTTTACTAAAACTTTTGATGATTTTCGTTTCCTTCTACTTAAAAAAATATGTTGTTTTAAGAAAAAACGGCAAATCTTTTTTTTCACTTTTTCTTTGCAGATCTTCACCCACACCCTCATTTGAAAGAGTATGTCAAGATGCAGGGCATGACATAACTCCTTCTTTGACTTTAGTTTTGTTGCTATTATCTAAAAGAATGTTTTAAATAGTTAGAGCGTTATTTTTTTTTTTGTTTAGATATTGAACTTTCCTCTACTTAGAAAGTAAGAATAAAAAAAAATGGGTACTGTCATACTCTACATTCTGACATGCTCTTTCAAACAGAAAAAAAAATTAAGTATATAGAATGAAAGTCTAAAAAGAAACTTTAGGACTTCAAATACGCTTTTTTTATTCTCACTTGTTGAATATCTCAGGAAAACGTTATATCATAGAGCTGAAAATTTTACAGTAGCTTGTCCATTAGAACTATAACATATTCTGAAAATTTTATGTGATTTGAATATACTTGATCCAACATTTAGTTCAGAGGGGCGAGAGCCTTAATTGAGTTAACAACATATTTGTACAAAGACAATCGAATACGAAAATAATTAAATCAGTAGAATATTTTATTTATAAATTCAAATAAATATCTGTCTAACACCTTGCTTGTTTTATTATAAAAAAAAGTCATTAAAGAAAAAAATTGATAGAATGCAAAGAGATTAATAATATATCATTAATTCAAAGAACATAATACAGAATCTGTTTTTTTAGTAGATTGAAAACCAATTTGAAAAATATTTATTAAATAATAATTATGAAATTGATCGTTTTTTTCGTAAAAATCCAACGTTTGAATTAAGACCTTGTCGTCGTAGATGTCGTCGAATAAGTAATCTTTGAATAGTTAATGGATAATTGTCATATATTTTGACATCATCAATATTCGCTTTCCATTCTTCAAGTGTTCGACGATCTGTTAATGAATGATGTCGAATACGTAATCCACTATTCGGTGAAGAGTTATCACGACTTGACGAGAAATATTTAGAATCCAAATTACGATGACCATGTAAAAATTGAATTCTCTCATTATAATCTCGACTATCTTGAGCCATTATTTCTAATCGTCGTTGAATATTACGTATACGAGATGGTTCTATATGAGTAATTTTATTATTTATATCATCTGATGTACCAAAATAAATATCCCATAATTTATCACGGTTTTCTTTATCAGCTAATTCTTCTAAAGAAATATTTTTTTTTCTAGTTTGTTTCTAATCAATATGTATGGTTTATTTTTGTTTTCCTACCTAATATTAGTTTTCTATCTCTTTTTTCACGAAAACTTCTATTAAACTCTTTAGTCGAATGATTTGATGAATGTTCAATAACAACAGAAGATGTTATCGTGTTTATTCTCAATAAAAGTACAATACTTAATGAATACCAAATAACAACAACAACAATAAAAATAATAGCGCCAGAAGTATCATATGCATCTGTTAAATTCATTTGTATTGTTTCTTGTAAGGATATTAACGTTGTATTATTCATGATTATTCTATTTGACTAAGTTAAAACAGTACGAAAAAGACGAATTTCGAAAAAAAAAGAAAAAAAATGGCATTATATTTTTCTATGAGAATAAGTATTTATAAGAAATTTAGTGACGCATACCAAATACATGGTAATATGTGCGTATTTACTTTACGATATAGTTATATATGGATGTAAATAAGGATTGTCAATATCGTTATTATTTTACCGTTTTTTTTTTGTATTTAACCCTTTACCTCCTGTTAAGGCGGTTTTGACCCATACATAGAAACTGTGTATTTAGAGTAATAGAGCTTCTAGTTGAAAGGGTGTAGAGCTTCCAATAAACTGCAAGATTAAGAGAAAATAAATTTCTTTGCATTATTTTTTGAATAAGATTTATGAATTGGAAAATGACATGTTTTAAAAAAAGTGAGAATATCAATTTTTTTTTCTTTTCACTTTTATTTGCTTGCACAAGCTGATTATTTTTTTGATTCATTAGTAGTGAGTAAAATGAAAGTTGTTTTTTTTCTAGCGTTATTTTTTTTTGATATAAACTCATAAAATAACAAGATCTTCATGCTAAACACTTAGTAGAACTACTATTCATTTTTAAATATTGTGTGCTCCACTATGTTTTGAATAACTTTCAATAGGAAAGTTGTAGAGATCAGCGGTTTTCACCGACCGGTAGCCATCGAAGTGTATCGAAACTTGGTTGACCAGCAATTACACAATTAGATGAACTATTGGTACAGATTTTTGAAAACAACATTCTGAAGCGTTTTCCATTTTAATTTTGACTTTTAATAGAACAAATCGATAGAAAAAATTCTTCGTTTTCGATCTACACAAGACCGATAAACCTAACGTGTTTCGTTCGAGACTTGTCAGATTTTCCTGAGAGCTTCGAATGCAGTCAATTGATCTATCATCACTCGAAAAAGCAACTAGGTACAGATAATTCACCATACTGAATTAAATCATGATATTTGTTTTTAGGTTCGAACTGAACTAGTACTGTTATCTCCATATTATTGAAATGTCGATTTCTTCATGACATTGAGATTAATTGCAGAATTTGACAAATATATTGAGATAACAATGTCAAGTCATTTAGAACGTAAAGACAAATATCGGCATTCGACTCAGCATGATGAATTACTTCTGCATAGCTACTTTTCCGGATGATTACAGGTCAATTTTGTTGAAATCGGTGGTATTAGGAACAGCCTTATAATTTTCGAATGAAACAAGCTAGGAATATCGGCCTTGTGCAGATTCAGAGAGAAGAATTTTTTCTGTCGATTAGTGTTCTTAAAAGTTTAAATAAAAATTTAAAAAAAAGAATTTTTCAGAACATTGTTTTTTTTTTTTTTTATACAAATAAATAACAACATAACTACGAAAAGTCGTAACAAAATCACACCAATAATAAATTCTAGTTTTATATAATTCACGATGAATGTGGAAAAAAAATGACCCATTCTGTAGTGAAATAACGTTGTCCAAATTTAACTTTACCTTTGTCATAAGAAGCATCTGTTTTAAATATTCACGTGATTGATTTAACATCAACTCTACTTGATGAGTCCCAAATGGTAAAGGATTAATATAAAAAAAGAAAGATTACAAAAATGTTCAGTGTCTTGTTCTCTAATTTCGAGTAACTTCGAAGTTTCTCTCCTTTCTGAATAAAATTATATCATGGCTATGAGTAGACTCGTGCGAGACTAAAAGCTTGAAAAATTTTTGGAGTTATGGCCATTTTAATAAAAGTTGTTTTTGAGACCAAAGCATTTCGTATAACCCTGAGACAACGAGTTTTGATCTGAAATTTTGTCTGTAAACATATTTAATTGATTACTGTGTCCTTCGATCGCTGTTGAAATTTTCAGAACTATGATATCTACTTAAAGAAAAAAATTGCAGGTCAAAACTCTTTGTTTTTCAATTTGTCGGAAATGTCTCTCTTTCAGTAAAAATTTCATTACAATAGTCATATATATGTAGACCATGGTTACGAACACTTTTAAATCTTTTCTAGTCTTATTAAGATCTTTTTCTGGGTTCAATATGAGTTCAAACAGTGTAGATTACTGTTGATATAGCTCCCTCGTTAGTATCCATTTCTCATTGCATTCTAACTTGTATGTTTCATTTTCACACAATTATCATATTGATTTGATCCAATATCATTATCATAATATAAAACATTGACGAAATAAAAAGTTGTTTGTTTGTTTGCTTTTTTCATTTCAAACAAGCACATCAATGTTGATGAAAGATCAACAAGAGAGAAAAGAAAGTACATTGATCAATGAGGACAGAAAGAAAAGAGAGAGAGAGAACAAAAAGTAAAGGTTTTCTTTTTCCCAATCATATTTAGTACAAAAACAAAAGACAAAAAAAAAAAGAAAAAGAGAAAGAGAGATGTTTATGTGTATGGGAAAAAAGTAAAATTTGGCAAATTTAAACATTTTTTTTTATAAATTCATTTCATTTGTTAATATGTATGAGTGTCGGGTTTACATGTGTGAAATTAAACCACGCAAGATCCGGTGCATAGTGAAGTACAAACGGACATTAGAAAAAAACAAGAGAAAGAAAGGATAAGATAATCTATTATTGATTGTGTTAATTTTTATAAATTTTTTTTTTGTTAGTTTTTCCTTTGAACATCATAGAAAACCCTAAGTTCATTATTGAGGTAAACGGAGAGAGAAAAAAAGAAAAATAAAAAAATTGATAGAAAATATAGTATAGTTATTAAAGATCCGATTCTCCATAAAGTGCAGATGAAAATGTTTTATAATCATATGCACCAGGCATATTATCAACACCTGTATAAGATTTCATTCTTCGCATACACCATTCAGCTTGCTCAGATGGTAATTCTCGTTTAAGTATTTCTGCTGTAATAAAAGCCTAAAAGAAAAAAAAAAAACAAGATAATAAAATGAAAAGATTCTTTTTGTGTTGTTTAATTAAATATTACTTTATCTCCGGCTAATGTTTTAAATGCAAGTGTTAATTGATCAACATTATCTTCTTCCGAACATTCACGTGTCATAAAATCAAGAAATGATTCAAATGTAACAAAACCTGTTTGTGTTGGATCAACATTTGACATAATACGTTGAAAATCAACATCACCTTGTCGATCTTCACGAATATTATAACCACATGCTATTAAACATGAACGAAATTCTTTTGGATCAAGTCGTCCTATTAATCAAAAAAAAAACAAAGAAAAATTATGATTAGAAGAAATTTAAATAATTTAATTAAACAATAACATACGACAACGACTCTTATCAAAGTGTGCAAATGCCGCACGAAAATCATTCATTTGTTCTTCACTAATGCCTTTCTTTTCTATTGTATATATTTGATTTTTAATTTCAGCTATTTGTCTTGTTAATTGTGTATTTAATTGTTCCCATGCAACACGTATAACTTCCATTGTATATGGTGTATGACGATTTTCAAAAATCATACATTCTTGAATTTGTTGATTATATTTTTCAAGTTCATCTATATGTGGACGATATTGAAGAACATTTGTTTCCATTGTTTCAAGTTTCTTTTGATGTTGTTCTAATGTACCCACTACTTGTATTGTCAATTGTTGAAGTTGTTCATGGTGACGTTCAATCCATGGACCAACAACATTTGCTTTTTGAGCAAATTGAAGACGAATACGTTCATTTTGTTGTTGTTTTAAATATTCAGTTTGTAAATCTTGATCACGTTGAGGAACAAGAGATTGAACTTCATTCCATTTAGCTGTAATTTCCTTAAACAAAAGAATATTATTGATATATTGATTATCAAAAAATAGAATAACATATTTTAGAAATGAATGAAAATTAGGAACACATTTTTTTAGAAGGATTATCTTCAATGATTGTAAGTAACTTGGTAGATAAAAAAACCCAACATTATGTTGAATTTTTAATCGTGATTTCAATAGAAAGATGAATTTAGCTCCGCATATTAGAGTTCTTAGAATTTGAAACTATGGATTATACTCTAAAATTCAGAGTCAACTAAGACTTGATTATTATAAGATCATCGTCAACATTGTCAGAAAAATATATATATATAGGATGTATTAGTAACAGAATGGAAGTAATCGATAAAACGTATCTTGCATCTTCGGAACAACTATTAGTTTCAGACAAAAACAGATTTCGTTGAAATTAGAAATATATTTCGGATCTAGATCAGAGTCTGAAAATTTTGCACTCGAGAGACTCCGTTACAGAGCTGACTGATTAGACCAGCGTTAGAAACATGTGCGACCAAGTGTTTTTGATTCTGGTCGCATATATCTCTAATTAAGATGCTTAAAGCATTCCATCGCTCCAAAGTTGATTTTTGATACAGAACATAGAATTTCCATGGAACTTTCTGAAGATATTTGCTAATGAAAGTACACCAATAAAATAATATTTACAGCTTTGGTGCACGAAGATATTTTTTCAATACAGTTCAAGTGAGACCGTTCGGACTAATCTCATTTTAAAGAGAATTTCTTATCGTTTTGGATGTGGGAAAGAGTTTTTCTCAAAATCTTAAAACATCAAAAACTCTAAACAATGTTTTCTAGAAAACCTATGAGAACTTTGATATGGAGCATCGAATACAAACTCTCTTTTCCTTATCCGACAGAGAATGCATGTATCTATTGAATAAAAAAACACACAATTACTACAACAAACATTATCGAAAAAAAAATATATATTCCGAATTCAACAATTTACACAAATCTATTCTCGAGATTTTTTCGTATATTCTCATGAGAAACTTCTCAACATAAATATAAAATATGATGATATTACGTACCAATTAAAAGTTCATGTAAAGTTTTAGCAAATGGCCTCCAGGCTACACGTTGGGCTATGACAGCGAATGATAACTGGTATTGCAATTATAAATTTCCTATAGGTTTAGCTATTAACCTTTCTGCTGAAGAAACCTTTCAAAACTAGACGCCTTACAAATTATGC